GTAGATGGATTCTGTAAATCGATAAGACCTGTTATCGACAACTTTCGGTTCGTTAGGCTATCGAAAGGTGTGTTATCGACAATTTGAAAAAAAAGGAATTCTGTAACTAGATTTTCGATAGGTTATCGATATTTGTCGTTAGTAAAATCGATAACAGCCGTTATCGAAAGCGGCACTTCGAAACCCCTCGTTATTAAGTTAACGACATATTATCTGTTTTATTATCAAAATTGATATCAAATTAATATATTATAATATTATTCTGTAAAACTTCGAGTTTCGACTGTTTCGASTATTCAAATAAATYTTGTTATATTGGATATTTTTACTTTTTAAATAGTTTGTGCAAATTGTTTTTTAAGTATGGCTCATGTTTATTTGGCTTGGGAACAGATTTTTTTGGAAGAAAGAGTTCTTATAATGGAAAGACGTTTAGAAAGGAGAATTTTAAGAGATGGTCAAAATCCTTTTGAGTTACCAAATGACGAGTTCATGAGTTCATTTCGTTTAAACCAACAATTGGTTATAAATATAATTAATACATTGAGGCCATCATTRCAGCATAGAAGAACTTCTGGATTATCTCCAGAAATACAAGTAAGTAAATATTATGTTCAGTACCTATCAAATTATTCAAATTTATATCAAATTACTWTACTAATAAGTTCTAGAAATTAATTTTAAAATTTTATTTAAATACAGATACAAATATATCAATTTAGAAAGTATTTTAAATATGTTTAAGTAAAAAGTMTCCTAGAGCAAATACAATTACCTACTTGACATGTATTTAAATACTTTTTTAATTTTACTTTTTACTAGTCTGTTTGCCCAAATTAATTTTATATAATTAGGTATTATTAGCCATCATTGTACCATTTATGAGTGAAAAAATATTACAAATAAAATAGTAAATCTTTCAAAAAAAAATATGAACGAATGACAAATAAGTTGTTTGAATTTTTGCAAATATTTCCAAGACAGTATTTAAATACATTATTCACTCACATATTTTACAACAGTACATATCACCTAAATTTAAATATATTTGATTAGGTATTAGTTTGTCTGCACTTTTATGCACAAGGGAGCTATCAAAAAGGATTAGGTGGTAATAGTATGTTAAATATAAGCCAACCATCAGTCAGTCGATGCATACATGCTGTGACTGATGCTATAAATCAGCGTCTGTTCAGAAAATGGATTAAATTTCCAATGACTGGTGCTGAACGACAAAGGGCACGAGAAAATTTTGCACATGCTCTTTWACCATTTGAAGGTACAATTGGAGCTATTGATTGTACATATATACATATACTTGCTCCTCCGCAACATGAAGAAGCATATGTTAACCATCATGGTAAACATTCACTGAATGTGCAAGCAGTAAGACTACTTTTTTTCAATATTAATAAAGTGGTTTATATAATTATATATTTTTTTCAGATTGTAAATTCCAAACTACAAATTTTGAATATGAATGCAAGATACCCCGGGGCTAGAAATGATTCATATATTTGGAGTATGTCACCCGTCCGCCGGGCAATGGAATACCATTATAGTAATGGTGAACGCCAAACATGGCTGATAGGTAGGTATTGAAAATATTTAAAAATATAGTATTTGGTTACATAGCTAGGTAACATCTAAGCAGATTTAGGTGACCTGTAACGCACATGCCATGTATATGGTTAATACCAAAGTTTGTAGTG